AGAACAGTTAACTCTTAGTTCAAGAAATTCTTTTCTTGTCTACAGAATGGGTTTTCTTACTACAAGAACAGTTAGCTCTTAGTTCAAGAAATATTTTCTTGTCGACAGAATGGTTTCTTACTACAAGAACAAATAGCTCTTAGTTCAAGAAATATTTTCTTGTGTAACAGTTAGCTCTTCGTTCAAGAAATATTTTCCTGCGAACAAGATAGAGATTCTTCGTGTAAGAACCTATAATTCTTATCATGAGAAGAATATTCTTAAGTATGGGTTTATTAGCTGTAAGAAAAAATTTCTGAGAATAAGAACAACGTGGCGAGAGTTTCTTGAATTTTCTGGAAACTGGGATTCTTGTCCAAAGAATAAGGTTCTTGCTGACAGTAAAAAGTTCTTTGCACAAGAAAAAATTCTTCTTTTAGTGCAATGCAAGAACATAAATCTTAATCTATTTCTAGGTATCACAAGAATTTTGATCTTGACAGAAGAAATATATTCTGGGTGTGAGATGAAGTAAGAAGCTATTTCTAGCAGATAAGAATGTAGTGTTCTTGGGATAAGAACGAAAATCTTGAAAGAATAAAATAACTTCCAGATTTATAGAATTTTAGGCTTGTATTGAGAACTGCAGTCTTTGTATAAGAACAATTGTCTGCATCACGAATCTTACTGTAAGAATAAGATTCTAGAAGTAACCAACAATAACTTATATAGAAACCTATAAGAAAAATATTCTTACTGCAAGAAAAAGTCTATCAAGAAAAAATTACTTAATTCGTGGACAAAATTTCGTTCTTGAATACAGAAAAATTTGCTTCAGGGAAGAAATATTTTCTGACTGTAAGAAAAAACAAGAATGCTAGAAATGTCATTTTTGGTAGTGTACATAAAGTAAGTTATAAAGTACTTATTTGAAACAAACCTGTGCAAATCTTTTCTTGCACCATCTTTCCCACCGACTTCAGTCCTTCAAAGTTGTCTGTCTGGTAGACTTTGCTAGGGTCACTTGCGATCGCAGTGAGAGTTTCCCTGTCCACCTGTGAACCCACCCCGACTGCGTACACTGCAACACCCATCTCTCTCAGCTCAACGGATGGCTGTTTCACGGGACTGAACGAATTTCCATTGGTCACCACGATTGCGACGTTTTGGTGGTTGGGATGGCCGCCCTTGGCAGCTGTAAAACTATTATGGGCTAGATACCGCAGCGCTGCACCTGTGTTTAGATTTAGATTTTATTAGTTTGCACATTAACAAAACAGACAATAATAACACAAAACAAGGATAAAACAGGTACAGGAGGAGGGGAGAAGCATGGAATGCTTATGCTAGGCCCTCCTCCTCTAAACTATACAAAATTAAATATAATCAATAAATGGAAATAATACAATAGAAAATGGAAATAATACAATAAGGATAATCAAATAATGTACGGTATAAGTTAATGACAATGAAATAAGGTAATGTAAGTTAATACAATAAATAATACAGTGCAATAATGATAATGATAATAATTGGTACGAGTTAAAATAAGAGAAAAACACTAAGTGAAACTACTACAGGGGACTAGGTTCGTTTATCAGATGGTTTTTCAAAGCTTGTTTGAGTGAGAGAAGAGACAAGGTGGGGTTCTTTAGAGCTGGAGTTAGTTCATTCCATAAGGTGACACCTTTGTATCTAACTGACATTTGGGCAAGAGAAGTTTCTACAAGGGGGATATGAAAATCGGAACGTTTGCGAGTTTGGCCGTGTTTAAGTGAAATCCCCCAAGGCGGTTTACAAGTGGTTTACGCCAAAGCCGGTTTCAACTGGCTCCATCTGAACGCTCCAAATCACATTGAAAGCGCCTCGATCCCAAACCACTTCTAGAGGTGGTTTCTAATCGGTTTTCCCGCATCGCGATTTGCGTCTAAACGCAATGTAATTTCAATGTGACTTCGCCTGGTCATGGATTACGGGGTGATATTTCTTTATTTATATGCAATACCAACTTTTACGAGGCAGCAACTTAAAGAGCAGTAATGGTCAAATAATGTGTCCGTTCTAGGGCGAGCTTCACCGCCTCTGGCGGGACCACCTCGGCATTCGGCCGAGA